CTCTACTGTGCAGTGGTATGCTGCTCCCTCATTGTGAGTTTCCATGTGTCTCCGCAGATCATGCTGGTTCTTGAAGCTAAAGGTAAGGAGATAAACCATAAAATGTAAGCAATATATTCTTCAGTACTTAATTGAGTGTATGTGGACAGTGCGAAAACTCGCGGCAGCCACCTGCTCTCACAGAAGTCACACGGGAAGGGCCTCTCATCGCAGTGACGGAATTTGATATGGATCTTCAAGGTGGAAAGGGACGTGCATGTCATGTCACAGAGAGGACATTTTATATGATTCACTGCAAAAAAAGAAAGAAGAAACTCCGATATCTTTATAGGTGTAAAAGACACTTAATATTCAGTAACATTATGAATTTGAATGCACGGACACTGCTGAATGAGAACAAAACTAAACTGAGCTGAATAAAGACACTATTAATACTGTTATTTTCGATCTGGTTTATAAAGCAATATTGTTTTTTTTTTTTACATGTCTATCTTCAGTATTTTCAATAATTGCTTTGTATTCATTACTGAGGAAGTTCAGCAGTTTTTTGCTTGTTTGTTTAGCTGTTCGTCCGTTTTTTCTTTCTTTCTTTCTTTCTGTATTTAACAAAACTTTAAAACCATAAATAAAATAATAAAAAAAGTTTACTGTTATTACTGCGCTGCTTTCAAACAATCTATACTGAATAAAGCTGTATATAAATAAATATGACTTAACATGACATAAAGCATCTATAAAGAACAATACTGTTTTCCAGAAGATGTCATTCTTTTAAAAAAGCATCCTAAATTAAGGGATGCATCACATTATCTGATAATTATTTTCATTATATGGCTGATATTAAAATTCCATAGTACTATTTGGCCTAAATAAACAAAGAATATAGAATATATATTTTATAATGTACAATGTAAATTATATTATAATGTAAATGTAAAATGAGCATGCATAATTTCATATCCATTAAACTTAAATCTCCAATATCAGCCAGTAACTGATATGGTATTGATATATTGTGTATCCCAATCTCAAAAGTTTAACTTACAAATCAAACTTGGACTCACCATGCTGACGAACATGGTCTCTCAGCAGCCTCTCGTTGGCAAATGCTTTGTCACAATGTCTACATGTTAGAGAATCTGCAATAAAACATATTTATGGAACAACTGCAGAATTAGAGACATTTCATGGACATTCTTAAACATCAGTGTTGCTGTATTGTCAGCGAGTG